ATTCTTGCCTGGGAAATCCAATGAACATAGGAGCCTGGCTGGCTGGCTACAGTCCATGGGGTTGCAAAGAATTGGACCTGACTGAGCATCTGAGCACATTGATGGGGGCGGGGGGGAGGGAAAATCCCAAGTACTTAAAGATGATGAAACTCTCATATCTAAAGATGCTCACCCAAAACCCAAGTTCCTTTTAAATGTCATCACACACTTGTACCTTGGAGCCCCAGGAAGCAGCCTGGTGATGCTGGGGTCTCAAAAGGCTCCCTTCCCTCCTGAGAAATGAATCACATCTGGCCATGGGCACTGAGATGTAGGGGGAACTCAAATCCTGCCCCTTGGGTGGGGGTGAGTGGTCACAGTCCAGTGTGGGAGTGGGGAAATCCATCTAGTGGAATCAGTGATCAGACAGCGGTAAGGAGAAGGACTCTACCAGAGCCCACAGAATGACGGCCAGGCAGTCTGTGGAGACTTTGAGAAGGAGGTGCCTTCTTTCCTGGGTCTTCAAGGGGAAACTGAGGAGGTGAAAGAGGACTCCCACAAACTGAGACCCCGAGACACACTCCTCTGCCACAGTCCAGCTATCTGAGGGTCTACCCACCTCGAGGTAAAGCTCTTCCTCTGTGCAACCTTAAATTAAGGAGACTTCATTAAAAGGCACTGAAATAAGGGAAGGTCTCCTTGAAAAGAAAAGGAGAGCAAAGGAGATTTAAACAGGTTTTTAAAGAATTTTCTTTCTATGCAACTTCTTTAAGGACTAGACTTAGTGGACAGAAGACACATTTTTCTAGGTCCCCTAATTATTATTCATGTGACCATGAGCAAATCACCTTCTTAAAGCCTTATTTTCTTCTTCTGTAACATAAAGATGATGACTGTGTGTGCCTAGTTGCTCAGCTGTGCCCAACACTGTGCAACCCCATGGACTGCAGCCCACAAGTCTCCTCTGTCCATTGGATTTTTCAGGCAAGAATATTGGAATAAGTTGCCATTTCCTCCTCCAGGGGATCTTCCTGACCCAGGGATCGAACCCGCACCTCCTGCATTGGCAGGCAGATTCTTTATCCACTGTATTACCTGGGAAGCCCAAAGATGATGACCACACAAGCCTAAGAATAATAGCACCTCTATCTCATTTAATCCTTACAACAACCTTGTGAAATGGATTGAACCACTTCCATTTACACAGGAAGCAGAGGCTCAGAGAGGTGACCTGATTTGTTTGATGTAAGAGGTGGCAGTGTCCAGCTAAGGTCTGCCTCATTCTATGCTTTAAGCATTACGCTGAATTGCCATGTGGGCAGACCAGTGAGCGATAAAACAGGGAAAACACAGTGTCTGGCGCTTTGTGGTACTCCAGAAAACCGGTTCAATTTCAGGTCTATTTTAGCCCTGATGATGGGAACTTTCCAAGTTTCTCTCTTAAAGCTGTGGAAACAATAAGTTGGTATACATGGCATCTTTCTTCTGAGGCTCTGGATGGGCTTCCCATGTACCATCAATGGGTAAGGTCACTGGCAACATTTGGTAGAAAAGGAAACTGAGGTTCAGTCTGGTACCAGGATTTATATAGGCACTTGGACAAGAATGGAAATCTTCTAATGTTACATCCTCTCTATAATGTACTCAGGCTTCCTTCTGGTCTGATTCCAGCTTCGAGCAGACAGTTGGCTGAAGGATGCAGTAGATTATCAGACTAGAATCCAAACTGGAAAGCTCAAGGACTTTGGCTTGTCACTTTCTTATTTAGGCCAAGATCCAAGCACAAATGCTGCCTCTCAGTCCCGAGGCAGAAACTCTTGTCATGTTAGCTTCATTTGCAAGCTTCTCTCTTATAGTACATAAAAACGATTGTCATCACCCTTCTTAGGACTGAAAATTTAGGTTGCTGTATCAACAATCTCAGGGTAGGCTTTAGAATCAGACAGTTGACTTAGAATTCTGGTTCATCATTTAGTGACTAGCTAAAACTGGACAAGTCACAACCCCTCTTTACAATCAGAAAAGCATCTTGAAAGGTGGTTGTGACAATTATAAAAGAGGGAGCAAAATGTATAGCATGAGGCCTTACAGTAGAAGGTCTGAATTTAAAAAAATCTTTTGATGTAATTGGTATAAAAAGCCATGCCCTGTCCCTCCACGGAAGAAAATCTGAAAGGCTTATTCCTGCTCTTACAGCAGTCTTCTCAATCAAATGCTTTTTCTCTAGGTGTACCTCTTCTGGGACACCAAAGCACAGGTGCCAGAAAGCACCCCACTTCTAAGTTCTCTGGTCCCGTGACACAGACTTCCGCACTTGCCCTGGGCCCCACTCTCCTTTTCCCCTCCATTCTGCATCACTCCCTCCCCCCGCCACACACCTCCTTGAGAGCCCCTAGCGCTTCAGACCGCCACATCCACGCCTCATCTGCTTTATGAGCCAAGCAATGCTGCTCCTCTGTTATTTATTAATTACAGTTAATATTTATTGAGTGTTTTATTATGTCCCAGGCACCATTCTAAGAGCTTTATGAATCCGCCCATCAACCTTATGAGGGTAAATTAACTACCTAAGAGAGGTCAAGTAAGTTGTCCAAGGTCACACAGCCAGTTAGTGGCAAGGCCAGAATGTGAACTGAGGGTCTGGCTTGATAGCGTATCCCCTTAAACACTGCACGACAGATGCTTATAATTTAGTTTACTTCTAAAATGGCTTTAAGGATAGCAAGCCTATCCTGATCAAATACAGTGACAAAAGTGAAAAAAATTTTATTTTTGAAACATTTTTCTTTGTCTCAGTACAACTTCTTAATAGGTAGCTAGTGGGGAACAATATGAGTTTCTGATTGAATTTTCTGTTTAAATTAAAGAAAAAATCTTTTCTCTAAAAAAGAATAAATAGTTTTTACAGCTTACTTCCATCTTACAGAGACTAGTTATAATATTCTATTGATTCCAAACCACTGACTCCCTGGTACATTCTGTACATGCTGGGATGGTCTTCTTTCACTAACAAAGTGATTTTGACTCTACGGTAAGCAGTGAGAGGACCCTGCAGACCCTTTAAGATGGGGGTGCTGAGGCTAACAGAGGTCACACAACTTAATTAAGACTACGCCTGGAAGTGGGAGTAAGAACAAGAGACTAGATTTCAAAACTTTATCCATCAATCCTTACAGCTTTTCTTTCCCAGCAGAGGAAAGTTGCACCTTATCCTCAAAGAAAAAAACCCCAAAACCCCAAACCACATCTAATTTGGAATCACAGCATACTGTGGAATACTATAGAGCAATTAGAAAGAGGTAAATTTATATATGGAACAATATATGGATTGATGCAACATATGCAGTATTCTCTATATGATATATTGTTAAAATGATAGAAGAAAAATGTAGAACACTGATGACAGTTTGCTACCATTTGTTGCTAAAAGGGGGAAATACGTGTGCGACCCCATTGACTATACAGTCCATGGAATTCTCCAGGCCAGAATACTGGAGTGGGTAGCCTTTCCCTTCTCCAGGGGATCTTCCCAAGCCAGGGATCGAACCCAGGTCTCCCGCACTGCAGGCAGATTCTTTACCAGCTGAGCCACAAAGGAAGCCCAAGAATGCTGGAGTGGGTAGCCTATCCCTTCTCCAGGGGAATCTTCCCAACCCAGGGATTGAACCGGGGGCTCCTGCATTGCAGGTGGATTCTTTACCAGCTGAGCTATCAGGGATCCCAAATGTGTGTGTGTGTGTGTGTGTGTGTGTGTGTGTGTGTGTGTGTGTGTATATAAATGTCTTTATGTGGGTGTATTCATGCACATATACAAAATATGTGTGCATATGCTTAGATGATCCCTGGAAAGATACCAAAGACACTGGGAACAACTGCTGTCTCCCGCAGAGGAATTAGGGGAGAGAAGGGAGGCTGAAAATTTTCATTACACTTTCTACCTGAAATTTCTTTGCATATCTAAGTGTTATATATCCAAAGTCTATACCAATATTCTAACAAATAAACTTTTATCTTATTCAAATAACAAGAAGTCAACAATTTGAGAGAGAATCCACTACAGAGTTCTAATGTGCAGTGCAAGGCCCATAATGGGTGATGAGTGAATATTAGGTGAATTAATAAAGGTCAATCTGGTATGGATCAGGTATACCCTCAAAGACTTGACAGTGTAGTGGGAGAGACAGACATCAATCATTCATTTGGAAAAATAGATAATTATAAACAGAAATATATGCCATGAAGAAAAAGTAGTATGCTCTATGATGGAAGATAGCTGGGGACCCAAGTGAGGGATGGATGGGGTTGAGGCAATGAGGGAACAGGGAGACCACAGGTGGCCTCTATCAAGGTGACATTTAAACTGAGAAGAAGGATAAGAAAGTCAGCCAGAGTAGAGGAAAGAAGGAACTGCCTGTGGGAAAGCCCTGAATGAAGCAGGAATGAGGGAGAGCTGGCTGCTGAGATCAGTCTCCACATGTTGCTCCCTTAAGTCAACTGGGGTACAGAGGAGAGGAATGGCCAAAATTCACAAATCTGAAACTCTAAAGAGAAGGCAAGAAATTAACTCAATTTTAAAGAGGCTTTCTACACAGCACTAGGAACCACCCTACACTGCCTCCAGCCAAGAATATGAAAATGGTCAGAATTTTCTAAAACCTGATGACTGACCAGTGATATTGACAGGGCCAGTTGCTTTATATACAAAATAGCCTTTGCCACAGAAAAGGCCTTACATTTCCAAGCCGTTTCCAGGACTGTTCCTAATTTAGGAAGACAACAGTTTAACAGATTAAATATTAATCACAGACGGCCAAGCAGGATGCAGACTCTTTACCAAAAAGCATGAAATCAATCATTTCACCCTAGGATTACACTTCTGGCATGAAGGCTGAGGTCTGCTTTGGAAAACAGTCACTTCAAATTTGCCTAGGGAGGCCAGACCACTGAGTGTTCCCAGACACGGGACTAGTGAGCATGTGGCAACGGACAAAAGCGGACACGGAGCGAGGAGGCCAACGTACTGTTCTCGCGGACCAGGCAGAACTCCCAGGCGCTCTGGCTCTCCAAGGTGCTCTCCAGGTCCACGGCGACGTTGGGCTCGCTCTGCTTCTCCAGGCGGTACTGAGGGCCTGGAAGATCAAAGGGGCAGGAGGAGGGGAGGAGGCTGAAACAGTGAACTGAACATTGAGAAAACACCACACGCCAGTGAAAAGCTGATACGCATTAGGAAAACACTGATGTCTGCTTGAGGTCTTAGCTATCCAAGGTGGAAGAGTATGAGTTTTTTTCCCCACACAGTTTCACATACTTGTCTGTTCTATTATCAGGTCTACTTTTGTGCAGTTCTCCCCTAAACGAGATGAGAGGTAAAAGGCTTTTAAGTGGGACTGACCTGGAACCACCATTGTAGCTACAATGGTTTCCCAGATAGAAGCAGGTACCCTTCCCTCCCTGAATCTCTGTTTCCTGATGTGTAATGTGGGAACACATACCTTGAAGGGTTATTGTGAAGATTAGAGATGACACAGGAAAAATACTTAGTAATGTACCTGCCTCATAGGAGGCACTCCTACAACATTATAATTATTATATGATAATGAATAATCAATAACAAGCAGAAATAAAGTATGCTTAGAACTCAAATATGATGACAACCCAAAAATGCAGAAAAATTTTTAAAAAGCAGATAGGGTTAAAAAATAAAGTCTAGGTTTGAGGGTTATAGTGACAGAAGGATAGTAGCTGCTGATTCATGTTTTTGTTGAAATATTTATGAAAACACAAGAGGCACAGGTTCAGTGATACTGAAGACTAGGAATATTAGCTACCCTTCATCTCAAGGGGGTTCTGAAAGATCTTAAAACACTGGGGCATTTTATACATTTATTCATGTATTTCTTTGTCAAGCCAAATGACAACCTTGTTCTCAGATAATACCTAACAATCCAATGATTGGATTCAAAAGACTGCTCCTGTTGTTGTTAATGGATATTGAAAAGATTAGAGGTGTAAGAAACTGTCTGACTATTTTGACTATGAAAGGCATGTTTGGTCAGACAGGAGGTGGGAGAGATCTGAGGAAGCACCAGAGGCCTAGCGGGGCTCCCAGGCAGAACACGTATTTTTAGATATGTTCCTCAGCTGTCGTCATCTTGTCGATTATTCACATCCAACACCTCTCCTTCATCAGTCTGGAGGCATTTCACTCATCTCAAGTCATCCCTCTCCCACGGTCTAGTTCATCTGCAGCACTGCAGTTGGAGTTCAGTTTCATGGTATATTTGATCTTTTCTCTAACTGATATTTCACTAGCATTGCTGCTGATTATCAGAATTCTTTCATACGTTCAGTCATTTTTTACACTACTTAGAGGTTTTAAGCCTGCCCTAAGTTAACAATGCTCAAGACACATACAGCTATTTAAGGACATGCATGCTCAGAAGTCTATACAGTTCTTATAAATTCTAGTACACTGTATTCCGGTCAAGAATGCACTGCAGTTCAACATTCTACACAGTTCAATTTCAATTTCAAAAACATGAAGCGAATAAAGGTATGGAAATACAGATAATTCTCAGTTTCCATGAGCCACCACCTGGCAGTGCCAACGTCTGTCAATTACCAAGCCTGCCTGCTGCTGTCACCGGATGCTTTCACACTCACTGGTGGGAAGTAGTCACTGCAAGTCACACCCAGATGAGCCTGAAGGAAACTTAGCTGTTGAGAGAGTCCTAAGATCCCTCTTCCCTGCCCCCTCACCTGCCACTGTCCCCTCTCTAACACCCCTCTTTCACAGCCCTGGGCAGCTTGGCCTATTAGAGAGAAGAGAGCCAGCCACCCCTAGACTTGGGGAGCTGCTTTCTAAAATACTGGCCTGTTAATTTCACACACCCCTGGTATCTCCCAGCAACACAGTGCATACGCACTGACATTCGCTCCTATGAATTTACAGTGAAATCTGGGTACAAAGTTTAGCTGTAATAACTCATTTTTTAAATGACAGTCAAATGTGGGAATAACCCAGATCTAACAACTGGTGGCTAAGATGATAAAGAATCTGCCTGCAACGCAGGAGACCTGGGTTCGATCCCTGGGTCGGGAAGATCCCCTGGAGAAGGAAATGGCAACCAATTCCAGTAGTCTTGCCAGAACTCCATGGACAGAGGAGCCAGATGGGCTACAGTCCATGGAGTCGCAAAGAGTTGGACACAACTGAGCAACTCTGAGACTCCAACAGGGAGGCTGGCTAAACAAAATATTGTGAAATACCATGAAGATATTAAAAGGGATGTTGCAAAAGTATTTGATTTTATCAAACATGTTTATAATATGCGAGTTTATGAAAAATTATAACACAACATGTGTAAGATGGTTTTAATGGTGAAAAATATATGTAAAGTAATGGGGGGGGGGTGTACTGGAAGGTTACTTCCAAAAGGTTAACAGTGACTACACTGGAGAGTGCAATAATGACTGTTTTTATTTTTCCTTAGTGGCTTCCTGTATTTTTCAAATTTCCTGTAACAACTTAAATAAAAGCTATTTTTATTTATCATTTTAAAAACATTATATATACTTGTAAGTCCTCCAGTTTCTTACTATGCCATTTTTCTGAGGATACTGTAACTACCACACACTGTGGCATCTCCAACAGGTCTTTCATTTGCGATACTTTAATCGAAACTAGGTATTATCTGTTTATTTAGATCAATGCTTTCATCTTCAGTAACCTTGTAACCTGGCATGGTCACTCTGAGCACAGCATATAGGGTTTTGGGTGTCCAGAGCTATCTGCCTACCTGACAAGTAGATAGTAAGCAAGCCACCCCCTTCCTGATTCTGGGAGCCAAGGCCTGGCAGCTTCAGGGTGTATTTCAGGCTGGTCTCCTTTATACACTTTTTCCTTTTGGTCTCTGTGGCTGCCTGGGAAACATGGATGAGGGAAACCAGGGGAGGCAGGGGGTACTAGGAAGGGTCCCTTACCGCTAAACACAGGTTCCTGCATCACTCTCTAAGCCGTAAATGCCATCATTCCATATTTACTTCCTTGTTTCTTGAGTTCTGTAGATTTTTCTACAAAAATAATTTGTTTCCTAAAAGTTGCTGGAGGACTTTCTCCTTGAGCCTAGTATCATGATGATTCTAGATTGCTGCATGGCCATTATATACCAAGCACTCCGAATATGTTACCTTACTAAATCCTCACAGCAACTCTGAGAGGCAGATATTACTACCCTCATTTGACAGACTGGGACCCTGAAGTGAGGGATCAATGCAACCAGTCTAAGATCACACGGGTAGGAAGCAGGATGGGGGAATGAAACCAAGGGTCTTTGGCACTAAAGCCTATGTATTTTTGAAAATTTCTTCCTTTAACAAACTATAAATGACTGACCTATATTAAAAAAAAAAACCCATAGTTTATACCTTAAGTATATATTTTTGGTAGCTCTGTGGATTCATTTGTGTTCTAAATTATTTGTGGTTTCTATACACTCATTTCTACAATAAATGATCTGAAATAATTATTTCAGTGAAATCCACAAGTGCTAAGTATCCCACTGCTATATCCGGGTTCCTTAGGAATATAGGACAACCTTATTTTGCCATCTATCCACGAAGATCCTCTCCCCATCTTTCTTAAGAATATTCCTATGTATGTCTGGTTTTTTAAGTAACTAAAATGTCGAGCACCATCTTTTGCTCTCGGTTCTCCAGGGTCTTCCACAAAAACTAAGAACAACTTGCTAACCCATTTCTGAATCTGGCAAAGGACAGTTGGGTCTTAACTTTGCAGAGGGGAGGCTAGTTAAGCTTAGATGAGACTCTAGATCTGGATCCAAATAGAAAACTGCCTATTACAAATCTAATTTCTCTCATGATTCTTGCCTGAATGCTGGATGAGACAGCTCATGGAGAAAGACCATTTTACACGTTTTCCTCTGAAAAGGCCAGAATGATAAACTCTAGGTCTTACTGTGTAATGAGAGGCAGGGGATACATGAGAAGCAATACAGCCTGATGACGAAGGGCATGCACTTGGGGCCAGATTGCTTCGGTCTAGTCCTGGCTGAGAAACGTAGCTCAGCGACTTTGGGCCAACTTACTTAACCTCTCTGTTTCTTCATCTATAAAATGGGGATAATAATAGCAGCTACTACTTTATAGGTCTGAGGAGTCAGTAAGTTAATAGTTATAAAGCAGTAGGAACAGAACATTAATAGTGTTATTTAAGCTTCCACCATGGTCATCCACATTATCAGACTTTTAGAAGAGATCATAACAGAAGAGAACAAGGTCTACCATGTGCTAGGTACTGTGGTCGGCCTTTCATATATATACCTCATCTCTTTCACTCTTGATTATCTTAGGATGTAAAGAGTACAAATTCCATTTTATAGAGGAAGAAATCATGACTTACAGAGGCTAAATAACTTGCTCAATGTCCACAGGAAGTGGTGGAACTAGGCTTCAAACCTCAGACTGCCCAGGCCTGCAGTCTACACATTACACACGGACGTAGTTGAACTCACTTGTATGTTCTTAATAAATGTCTGTTGATGATAATCAAGATTATAACAACCCAGACCTACTATATATCAAACACTAGTTTCTATCAAATGTTAATTTGATTTTCAGGCAGCTGACACAGGAAGAGAGGAAAAACAGCAGCCAAAAGCCGTTTTATAAAGACAAGCTGTGAGGTCAGTTTCCATTAACATACTTTTGCCAAAGAAGTGATTATATAAAAATATGAGGCTCTTTCACACCAAACGTGACATCGTTTTCAAGGCAACATCCACCCTTTGGAAAGAGGTTTGTAAAATGTCACAGCTGTGTATGGAGCTCCATCCCCTCTCCCTCACAGCAGAGGAATGCAAAAGGAAGATTGTAGGAAGCAGTTACTCTGCATAGACGGGAAAACCTGCTTGGGCATTCTGATGATCTATTTATTGCAGTAAAACCATGTCACCGAATGGTCTAGGAACAAAATACTGCTCTGGGCACTCTGGGAGGGCTCCAAGTTATAATACCCAGGCAGGATTTTTATGGGATTTTGTAAACCCAAAGCAAACATCTTAGCATGTAAGTTTCAAAGGAAATCTGTAGTATCTGTTGGATGGTGGAT